CAGCCCCCCCTGCTCTAACCCACCAGCCCCCACTCCCCTGCCAGAGCTGGGGAGAGAACCCAGGAGTCCTGGTTCCCGCCCCCCCTGCTCTAACCCACCAACCCCTGCTCCCCTCCCCGAGCCGGGGAGAGAACCCAAGAGACCTGGTTCCCAGCCCCCCTGCTGTAACCCACCAGCCCCCACTCCCCTCCCAGAGCTGGGGAGAGAACCCAGGAGTCCTGGCTCCAAGTGGCCCTCGCTCCCCCCCCAACTCACACCCCTACTGTGTGTGGGAAGCTACCCTGGCTGGCTGCCTGCCCTCGCCCCCCTGTACTGCCCCCCCCCCAGAAGTGGTTGCCCTGGTGGCTGGCAGGGTGCCAGGTCCCTGGGCAGAGAAAGCGAACTGGACTCACAGGCCTTTGGGTCCCAGGTCGGGGATGAAGGAGAGCTGGCTGACATCCAGGAACTCCGCCTGCAGGGGAGAGCTGCTCAGAGCAAGACCGGGCAGAGAATGGAACCCAGGAGTCCTGGCTCCTCCCCCTCCCCTTTAACCCACCAGCCCCCACTCCCCTCCCAGAGCCGGGGAGAGAACCCAGGAGTCCTGGCTCCAGGCCCCCCTGCTCTAACCCACCAGCCCCCACTCCCCTCCCAGAGCCAGGGAGAGAACCCAGGAGTTCAGGAAGTTGAAGGGGGAGCTGTGGGGGGGCCGATACGTTACCATGGCGTGGTAATTGCGGTAGAAGGACATTTCCAGCAGGGAATTCAGGTAGCTCTCGAGGTACTTCTGTGGGGAGCAAGGGGAGGGTGGGGGACTCTCACTCAAGTGGCCTGGACCCCCACCCCACACACACATCCCCTGCTGCCTTCAAGGGCTCCCCATCTCCCCGTTCCTTCCTCCCTAAATCTCCGCTCCCCTCACCGGCAGAGGGGATAAACCTCCCTGGTTTGTACAGAACCAGGCCGAGATCTACTAGCTCTAAAATCTGCCAGGACCCAGGGACCGGACAAAACCGCTTCAGTTCCCTAGCGCCAGATCCTGCTTCCCTTGGTCCATGGGTCCCTTTTCAACGCCGGACGTGCCGAGAAACCCGCGCCTTACCCGGCCAGCTTGTTTAGGGCAGGTGCATCTGACTAATTAAAATGCTTTCACTTGACATGAATTCAACTTTCCACCCGAGTGCAGTGTGACACCTGAGGTGGGTCAGAGAATGGAACCCTGGAGTCCTGGCTCCTTCCCCCCCTGCTCTAACCACCAGCCCCCACTCCCCTCCCAGAGCCAGGGAGAGAACCCAGGAGTCCTGGCTCCCAGCCCCCCCCAGTCTAACCCACCAGCCCCCACTCCCCTCCCAGAGCCGGGGAGAGAACTGTGATGCTCTGTACCTCTGGGGAACACCCTACACCCCTATGTTCATTGTTGTAAAATTATTGTGTGGTATCCAATGCAAAGTTTGTATGTTGGGTGTCTTCGGAAGGCTCATGATTCACTGAACATCGTTGTTACAGTAATGTTATAGGTTATAATGTGTATAGTTATGAGGCTGAAAATGTGTCCTCAAGGCTTAAAGCAAGCCCAGGCAAAAACTCTCCAGGAGCAGAGAGGCAGTTCACACCTCATCAGGCCAGGTGTGCCCATATTTAAAAAAGGGAAGAAGGAGAACCTGGGGAACTGCAGACAGCCTACAGTCAGCCTCACTTCAGTCCCCGGAAAAATCATGGAGCAGGTCCTCAAGGAATCAATTTTGAAGCATTTTGAGGAGAGGAAAGTGATCAGGAACAGTCAGCATGGATTCACCAAGGGTAAGTCATGCCTGACTAACCTAATTGCCTTCTATGAGGAGATAACTGGCTCTGTGGATGAGGGGAAAGCAGTGGATGTGTTATTCCTTCACTTTAGCAAAGCTTTTGATACAGTCTCCCACAGTATTCTTGCCGCCAAGTTAAGGAAGTATGGGCTAAATGAATGGACTGTAAGGTGGATAGAAAGCTGGCTAGATCGTCGGGCTCAGCGGGTAGTGATCAATGGCTCCATGTCTAGTTGGCAGCCGGTATCAAGCAGAGTGCCCCAAGGGTCGGTCCTGGGGACGGTTTTGTTCGATATCTTCATTAATGATCTGGAGGATGGTGTGGACTGCACCCTCAGCAAGTTTGCAGGTGACACTAAACTGGGAGGAGTGGTAGATACGCTGGAGGGTAGGGATACGATACAGAAGGACCTAGACAAATTAGAGGATCGGGCCAAAAGAAATCTGATGAGGTTCAAGAAGGACAAGTGCAGAGTCCTGCACTTAGGACGGAAGAATCCCATTCACTCTTACAGACTAGGGACCGAGTGGCTAGGCAGCAGTTCTGCAGAAAAGGACCTAGGGGTCACAGTGGACGAGAAGCTGGATATGAGTCAACAGTGTGCTCTTGTTGCCAAGAAGGCTAATGGGATTTTGGGCTGTATAAGTAGGGGCATTGCCAGCAGATCGAGGGACGTGATCGTTCCCCTTTATTCGACATTGGTGAGGCCTCATCTAGAGTCCTGTGTCCAGTTTTGGGCCCCACACTACAAGAAGGATGTGGAAAAATTGGAGAGAGTCCAGCGGAGGGCAACAAAAATGATTAGGGGTCTGGAGCACATGACTTATGAGGAGAGGCTGAGGGAACTGAGATTGTTTAGTCTCCAGAAGAGAAGAATGAGGGGGGATTTGATAGCAGCCTTCAACTACCTGAAGGGAGGTTCCAAAGAGGATGGAGCTCGGCTGATCTCAATGGTGGCAGATGACAGAACAAGGAGCAAGGGTCTCAAGTTGCAGTGGGGGAGGTCTAGGTTGGATATTAGGAAACACTATTTCACTAGGAGGGTGGTGAAGCACTGGAATGCGTTACCTAGGGAGGTGGTGGAGTCTCCTTCCTTGGAGGTTTTTAAGGTCAGGCTTGATGAAGCCCTGACTGGGATGATTTAGTTGGGCATTGGTCCTGCTTTGAGCAGGGGGTTGGACTAGATACCCCCTGAGGTCCCTTCCAACCCTGATCTTCTATGACTCTATGAACCCAGCCCAGCCTCACAGGAACAAAGGATGCTGGCCTAGGCAGCAACAAAAGGATCTGTTAGACTCTGAGTGAGTCATCCCCTTCCCTTGGTCAGTGTGGGACTGCGATGAGTAATGCTCACCTGACTCTGAAGGCGGGGCGGGAACCAAGAAGGAAGAAAGGACATGATCAAAGGGAGAGAATCATAGAATATCAGGGTTGGAAGGGACCTCAGAAGGTATCTAGTCCAACTCCCTGCTCAAAGCAGGACCAATCCCCATTTGCCAGGCTCTTCCTCTCTCTTCCGCCTCCATCTACAGACATCACCCCCCAGCGACTGAAGCGCTGATCAAAGGGGAGAGCCTGGCTGAAGGGCAACCAGCCAGCCTGTGGGGAGAAGCACCTAAGTTTGTAAGGACGTTGGAAGCGTTAAGATCGGCTTAGAATGCACTTTGCTTTTATTTCATTTGCCCAAATCTGACTTGTTGTGCTTTGACTTATAATCACTTCAGATCGTTCTTCATAGTTAATAAATCGGTCTGTTTATTCCACCTGGAGCCGTGCGTCTGGTTTGCAGCGTGTCAGGGACTCCCCTGGGGAGAACAAGTCTGGTGCATATCAATGTCTTTGTCAAATTGATGAACTCATATAAGCTGGCAGCGTCTAGCGGGCACGACTGGGCACTGCCAGACGGAGGTTCCTAGGGTTGTGTCTGGGACCGGAGATGTTGGCTAGTGTCATTCGGTTGCACAATCCAAGGAGCAGGTGACATGCCAGAGGCTGTGCGTGAACAGTGTAAATCAGTGAGGTAATGCTGTCTGGCCTGCCTCCCGGACTCCTCCCCGCCCCCCAGAATTCACACGGGGGCTCCCCAGCACCCACAGTCGCCCCACAGGGCCCCCCACAGCCCTTCCTAGCCCTGGAACCCCCAGAACCCCCCACCCTCCAGCATCCCACCCCCCTGCCCCCTACCTGTTTGCTGGAGGGGCGTCTGGAAGTGCCATCACCCCCATGGGGCAGGGCGGGCATCTCCAGAGAGGTGGCCTCTGCACGGGACCCATGGAGAGCAAACCTGGGGAGGGGGGTGGAATCAGAGACGGGGTGAGACTTAGCGGGGACAGGCCCGTGCCCCATTCCCCCCCCGCCTGAGCCAGCCAGTCCCCGCCCTGGGGCTGATGGGAGCCAGTGCCCCCCAGAGGGGACAGGCTCCTGCCCCATTCCCCGCCCCCCTGAGCCAGCCAGTCCCCGCCCTGGGGCCGATGGGAGCCGGTGCCCCCCAGAGGGGACAGGCCCCTGCCCCATTCCCCGCCCCCCTGAGCCAGCCAGTCCCTGCCCTGGAAGGGTTATTCTAGGACGGTTTGGGGCAGCTAGTGGCTTTGGAGACCAATCTAGGGCTCAGGAGAAGGCATGTGGGACAGCAGGGACCGGGGCCCTCACAGTGCTTGGGGGGTGGGGGATTCCTGCGGCACAGGCCCCGCTGCAGGGGGGGGCGGTTCGGACCTGGAGAGGGGCAGGAAGCTCATGAAGATTTTGTGTCTCATCAGGTCGCGGTGCAGCTCCTGGAAGTGCTTGAACTTCTTCTTCATGGTCCAGGTGAAATCCCCGTGGGTCAGCCGCAGGGAGTACAGTGTGCTTGGCCGGATCTGCGGGGAGAGAACCCTGGTGTCCGGGCTGCCAGCCCCCCCTCCCCACTCACCTTGGAGCCGGTGGTGTAGCGCTCGGTGCCCTCCACCCGGGCAGTGACTGGCACCCCCTTGGCAAACACCGGCCCCTGCGACTTGAGTGGCTTCAGGTCATAGACCACCAGGAAGGGGTAGAGCGGACCCCCTGCGGGATGGACGGACGGGTCAGGGTGGGGGTAACCCACAGGCCCCCCCCGTCTCCCTCCCCCACATGCACGGAGGCAGCAAAGCCCCCTGCTGAGTGCCAGACACGGACACACCGAACCCCAGTTCGGGTGGACCGGGCACCTGGGTTCCTGGGGAGGGTCCCGACACAGCCCTTGGCCGCGAGGGTCGGCTGCCCACCCCCCACGCCGTGCCAGGGAGCCGGATACTAAAGTCTTAGCCCCTCCCACCTCCCCCCCAGGGGCCTCCCCACTCACCTGGCTCCTCGCCCTCCCGCAGCCCCTCCACTTCGTCCCCGTCCACCTGCAGGTCCGAGGCGTCCAGCGAGCTGCCCCCTGCGAAGGGGCCAGCCAGGGTCTGCATGGTGCCGGCCTCTGCCTGGAGAGGAGTGGAGATGGGGACGGGGAGAGAACCCAGGAGTCCTGGCTCCCAGTCCCCCCTGCTCCAACCCACCAGCCCCCTGGCGACGGGGAATCTCTGGGGTGGGCAATTTCCTCATGCAGCTGAGGGGGGGACCCAAGAGTCCAAGAGGTAAGAATGGGGAATGCAGCCAGGTCTCCAGCAGGGCATCGCTGGGGGGATGGGACCCAGGCATCCGGGATGGCAGTGCCAAGGGCGGGAGGGGGGCAGGCGGAGAGATGCTTTGGCTGGGTTTCCTGGGACAAATTCCTGGTGGGGGGTGTCAGGCCAGGCTCCCCGCCCCGCCAGGGCAAGCGGGGGCTGAGCCAGGTTGATCCGTCGGTGACGCGGGGGGCATTGTGGGGTTAACTGGGGTGAGCGCCCCCCCCCCGGCTGTTTATGTAACAGCGGCCCCTGGCCTGCAGCCCAGACAGTCACTATGGGGATGGGGGGGGTTACGGAGCAGAGCTTGGGGGGCACTGGGCGGCGGGGGCTGCGCTAGTAGGGGGCTGGGGACGGCCTCTGGCTGCAGCCCCTCCTCACTCCCCAGCTAGGCCAGGGCCGGGGGTGGGGATCCCCACCCAACCCCACTGCGCTCCCAGCTCCCTTTCCTCTGAGCCCCACAGGCCCCCTGCCCCCAGTCCTCCCCCACTCATCATCCTGCCCCACAGCCCCCTGCCAGCCCCCCAGTCCACCCCATCCCACAATCCCCCCGACCCACCTGTGCCCCCCAGTCCCGCCAGCCTCAACCCACAGCCTTTGACAATCCCCCCGGTGCCCCTCAATCCTGCCTCACAGCCCTGCC